TAAGGGTGACTCTGGTGATTTACGAAAGCAGCCTGCATTATTTCACTGTTGTGAGCCTAAGAAAGGAGCCAAATGACTTCAAGGCCAACTTAGACACCCTGAGACTTTCCAAATTTACTTCCCTGATTGATGAAAGTGGTAACTATCTCCAAAATCATAGTGACTCAAGATATATTTACATGATATTCTGCCTACTCTTCCTCTTCTATCACGCACTTAACTTGTACATCACATAGACATTCAGTCACCTCTCTCTGCTCTGCTTTGGATGTGGTCTGAGTGTTCCACATGGGTTTACTGTGGTTAAAGTCTTGGCCCTCAGGGAGTGCTGCAGAGAGATGAGGGAATCTGTGGAAGACAAGGGCCTACTGAGAAGTCTTTAGTTAACTGAGAGACTGAGTTAGTTCACAGAAGGCCCTTGAGTTCTCTTGAAATGACTATTATAAAAGGAATAAGCCCAGCCTCTCCCATTCTCCTTGTCTCTGTTCCTGCTCAGCAAGTGATACAGGATATGACGCCATCCACAACCCTCACTGGAGGCCAGACCAATCACATCAGACTTTGGACTCTGAACCTCCAAAACTAAGATAAATGAATCTTTTTCTCTTCACAACTTAGCTGCTGTAGGTATTTTGTTGTAGTAATGTGAAACCAACTAATCCACTCTCCTATTTTATAATGATAGTTTTGAAATTAACTTTCATTTCTTTGTCTGGGCCACCTGAAAGCTCAAAATTGGGCTTCACTCTTATATTAAAGCAAATTTAAGACCAGACCAGAAATGAGGTCAGAGAGGGAATCTCAGGTGGGGAGACTGGGCCCCCAAAGTAGTGTCAGTTGGAGATGGCTGCAGCAGCTGTGAAACCAGCAGTGTGTGTGGTAGCAGTGACGCGGGGCTCTTTTCCAGTGTTGAAGGATGGCAAGGGGATGATGAACAGAGGGATTGGTTCTATGGAGGAGGATGTATCCCAGGAGTCACTGTTCCTAATGTTCTGCCCAAGTGGGCTCCTGACCACTGTGCTGAAGTAGAAAGAATGAATTCAGGACTGGATAAATTTTGAGATTCCACATTCCTTTTACCTTCAAGGCCAGCCCAGAGAGTATATCGTGCTCACTTGAATCATCTACCTGGAGCCGCAGCTCAATGCCTCAGAAAGGGGCGAAGAAGGCTGGTTGGGAAGGAGGTCAGCGTAAGTACTCTGGGTGACCCCAGCAGAATGAAAAGAACAGAGCGTTGCCATCTGATTTTCCTCACATTTCTGTGCGTGCACATGAGCTGAGTCCCCTCTCTCCCTTTTTCTCCCTGGACGTTCTTGCTGACGCTTCTCACCGAAGATGTTCACCAGCGCACTGCTCTGCCAGACAGGCAAACACACACTGGGGAGCCCCACGCTCGTGTGACACCAAGAGGAAACAGAAGCCAGTGGCCACAGCATCTGTGTCCAGCCCCAGTGCAGTTCACAGGGATGCGGTGGAGCCATCCACACCAGCATCGCTAGGCCAGAAATATTCAAATTCTGAGTGGCTGGTCCAGACCTCTGCAACTGACAGAGCCACTGACTCAACTACAGCGACATTTTTAAAAATGCCACAAGAGGGCGGGGGATTTAGCTCAGTGGTTCCGCTGCCTGCCTTGCAAGCCCAAGGTCCTAGTTCAATCCCTGGTACCCTCCCCGCCAAAAAAACCAACACCTTCCCAAAATGTATCCTAATTAAAATGCCACAAGAGAAGAGCCCTGGGTGCAGCTAGAGAGCTCATTACCCTCCCTGGCAGCTGGGTGTGTTATACAGTCTTGCAAATTTCAGTGGAGATTCCGTCCTTTCACCTCCAGGATTCCAGGACTGACTATTCTTCACACACAGCAGCCAGCTCTCTTAGAAAGTTATGGTGTGGGAACCTTTTTATTTCTTTTTAATTAGTGAAGTATGGAGGCAGCAGTTTTCCTTTTTTTTTTTTTTAAGGTTATCCTATGCTATATGTGTTACATTATTGCTATCCCATCATTCACCTGCAGCTCCTTATCGAGCTGTTGACTTCTGCAGGTATGTCTTCTTAAAAAATGATTAACTGCTTTTCCATACCTTTTGTGTATAGCCTTTGGTATCACTTGAGGAAGGCCCAAATTTGCAGCCCATCCAAACAAATTCCTGCATGGAACTGTGTCTGCAGAAGAGGCTTGCCTGCAGCTGGTCTCAATTCACTCAGAGTGCCATTGAGCCAATAACCGAGTTCTTAATTGGCCTTGAGAGAAACAAACAGGAACAAAGGCTTGGGAACTTCTTCAATTTTTCTGTAGATGGTCTGACGGGGTCACCGATGGCTGTACTGTACTTTACCTCATCTTCAGCGTTTGTTCTACAAAAAGTGGACACATCTGGATGCACAGATAGGCGGAATGAAGAAAGTGGTTTACCTTTTAGAGCAAACAGCCCACTGCAGCATGCATGCCATAGCTTCGCCACCACTGGTTTAGGTGTACAGCAAACTTAAATAGTCAGCAGATTGTGTCTCACTACTCCACGTCACAGTGTAAGCGGGACTTTATTGCTAGTGTTATATATAGGTCAATGACCTGCAGCAGAATTTCATACTCTATTATAAAAATGGCTTCTTGAGGCCATGCTTTGGGGAGGAAAAATGTCTTTTTTGACATGCCGTTGTACTTGGAGTGTTTTTAATGACTCAGCTGTGTATCGAGTTATATGTACTGTAGCTCCTGAAGTCAGATGCCACTTTGTCAAAATGAGGAATCAGTGACCGACCGCCTGGAGCTTCTGGAGGAAAAGCCACACTTTCTAAAAAGTATTACCAAGAGTGTCTGTCACTGAGGGACCTGGTTGACAGTAAGGCTCTGTTTTTGTATGACTTGAGTGCTTTTATTCTGAAATACTTGGAGCTGTTTGCTAAATTCTTCCTGCTCTGGTCACATGAAAGAAGAACACTCAACTCTGCACCTGGATGTTTTGTTGGATGTAGGTGCTGAACCTTCTTTCTCCAAAGTGTGATGGTCCCTTCCTCCCTCACAGAATGTAATTCATGGTGGGTTGCTCTATCAAGTTTCGTTTAAAAGTTATAGTTCTTATCAGTAGAACTCTAGAATCTCTTTATCAAGGAAGTGGGCAGGTGGGAGAGTGTGTATCTGGTTGGAATGGGGGATTGGAAGCTAAGTTTGCATAGCACTTTATGTAAAACCAGGAACATGTCAGTGGACCCTGAGAAGGAAAATGGTGGAAGGAGAGGGGAATGATATTACGGATGGGAGGGAGATCGCGCTGACGCCAGCCCAGCACTCTGGAATTATCCCTGGCTAACTGAAGTGAATATATTGACTGGGCATTGAGGCTGCACTTCCTTTTGCTATGGGCTGCACCCACAGAAGTACAGAAAATGTCATGTCTGTCGGATATACAATAGCACTACTGACTTGTTTTAATGATGAATGGACATTTTATTGTCATGCACAATGTCACCTAGCCCTCATAGTGGTCTGTGGCATGTATTTCTAACATACTTGGCTGGATTTAAGGAACAGATTTATGGATGCAACTCTTTTCTTTATGTCAAGCTCTGTGGCTCATGCAGAGATTAGTCCTGAGATCATGGTCTGCTAAGGCCTCAGATGCAGAGGTAAAGCCAGCATCTTTTCTTCATGACCTGTGGCCTACTATTCACGCCCCCCTTTTTTCTTAACCTATAACTTAAAATAATGTATAACATATATATAATATATATATAATTTTAAGTTATAGGTTTTTTTATATATATAGCCTTATTTACATTTTAAACATTGCTATGAAGTCATGCCATTTTACAGAGGTAAAAACAGTCATAGAGTTCAGTGGCTTGCCCAAAATCACATGGCTAAATCTGGATTAAAATCCTAGAATGGAGACTTTTTTGCTTGGGTTATACTCTGTGGTTTTTTTCATTGGTAGACCTGAGCAATCTGAGACCCACATTTATGAGCTTGCCATGAATGTTTATCTTTTTTCTTGGCATGCTTTTCTGTATAGTTTAAATACTTTCAACAGGGATCACCCAAGAATGCAACATCTACCTGAAATAGATAGGAAGAAAATTAGTTGCCTGAGAGAACAGAATATTAAGCACACAAATACTTTCCAACACAACACAGGGTTGTAAATGGCTCTTCTCATTTTAAGGTGCTGAATGTGTATGCTTAAGGAATTATTAATTAATTTATTCTGCTTGGTGTTTTTATATTAACCAATTCCAAAGGCTAACCTCAGAATCCAGTGTATTTTAAATCTAAAATTTTAAATTTCCTCTTTATATGGCACAGTACATAATGTTATACCTTTTTTTTTTCTTTTTGGTACTGGGGATTGAATTTAGGACCTTGTGCTTGCAAGGCAGGCACAGTGCCACTGAGCTAAATCCCCAGCCCTATAATGTTATAAATTAAGAAAAGTCTGTTACATTTCAAGATACAGTTTCAAAATTATATTTTGTAATCAGTGTTTTAAAAAAGGGAGCATGACATATTTGATAATTCTCATTGAACTCATGTGTTTGAGCTGCTGAAAAGTCTAACTTTAGGTGTGTTCCATAGTTTTTATTTCTGGATTCTGATTTATTCTACCTTACTGCACAAATTGTCTGAATCCTGTTAGTTTTCCACAGTGGGAATGCCTAGACATTATCTGCTTACATGATGACCATTCATACAAAGTTAGTCTTACTTATGAATATAAGAGAACTTGAGATTATTTGTATAAAGTTGGGTTTACTTATGAATAAAAGAGAATTTGGGATTAGTTTTCAGATGGAGTATTTTGAAGGAACAACTTCATTCGTATCAAAACTCTTGCTTTTTGGTAAGAATTGATGAGAAGAAATTAGTAGCTTTATATAGTTCCAAATTTTGGGGGGGTGATTTTTACTGAGTGGAAGTGGCATTCTTAGTTTAAAAAAGCTCATCACCCAGGACAAGTAATTAAAATAGGAATCCCAGATAGATTATCTAATTTGTCTTTATTTTGGAGTCAGAGACCATGCATATTTCTTCTACAGCCTGGGATGTTCTAATGGTGCCAAATTACCTCAAAAGCCTCTTGGAGTTGCAAAAGTTCCAACAATGTTGAGAGAAAGGAGTTTGGCTGGCCCAGGCTCTGCGAGTGTGATGGGTTCTGCACTCAGTCTCCAGAGGAAGGTTCCTTGTGGTGTGTGATTCAATTCAGGTTTTTGCTTCATTTTCACTGCATTGCTGTGGTTCTGTGCCACACGCTCCCACTCTACCCCTGGAAGGCTATGCAAAAGTCTCAGCACTTAGAAGCTCTGGTTAGTGTCCTGAAAGTCTTATAAATCTTGGTTGAGTTGAGTGCAGCCTGAATTACTCCAGCAGCCATGGATGCAGAGTAGGTGAAGCATAGCTTAGAGCATGTGCCATGTTTGTGGACAGTGGGAGGGATGGTAGAAGCACTTTGTTCTTCTCCGCTGCTTCCTTTGTTGATGCTTAAGACACCAGTAAATATTTCCTTCTCTCTTGCTCTTATTGAGACAATGGAGTTACTGCTGCTTACAACAATCAGGACTTGTTCCAATCCATCAGAAAACAGCAGAAAGAAGAGGTGAAGAAAATGGTAAATCTCACCATCAGGCACTAAACACATGTGCTCAGGGATGCCATCTCCTCAGTTCAGATCACAAGAAGATGAATGTCTAATGCCTGGAAACAGCAACCCTAAAGAGAAATAAGATCAACAGTATTTCTGAAATCTGTGCATCATAAGCCTAACAAAATTATTTATAACTAGAAGAACACATTTTCCTGCAAATAGACATAATCACTTAGCAAAATTGCCAGATGTGGAGAGTAGATTTTTTCAAGTACAGTATTGAAAAATGAGGCCGATTCTGAAGATGTTTACCAAGAGAGGCAAGGGGGAGACTCACCAAACAGGGCTTCTCAAAGTGTGGTCCCTGGACCAGCAGCCTTCTCTCTGACCAGCTCTCCTGAATCAGAAGCAGGGTGAGTTCCAGCAGGCTTTTAACAAAGCCTACAGGAGATTTGCACACTGAAGTTTGAGAACCATGTATTTGCCACAGTTAAAAGAAATGCTTTTAATATGTTGATATCTTCGCTAAGCTCTAAACTCCTGTTCTGTTTCCCACTATAAGTAAAGAGATATTTTGTGTATGATTCTTTGCAGAAATTGTTAATGTCTTAATCTTTCACATTTCCCCCCACAAGTTCCTGAAAAATTGGACATATTAAGAAAGGACAATATGGAGAAAAACACGTCCCTATTTAAATGGATGGAAATAAATTTTTTACAATGAGTAAAAATATAGCAAAGAAGTTTTAGTCTTTGAGTGGTGGTCCTTATTCATAATTGACAGTAATAAAATTTGTTTAAGATACCACCGCCAAAAAAGCAAATTTGAATTTTACTCTTGTTGCATTTATCAACTTTCTTTGAGGCTACTTAAAAGTTTTTTATCATTTTTTTTTCACTTATTGTATATGACATTTTTGGAAGCTGCTTTCTACATTTTGAAAAGGAGATTGAAAATAAAATCAGTAAGTAATTATGCATTTGTTTTACAAGTTCATTCTGCTTTCAGCTTATTCTCATTTGTGGTACAAGAGTGAGTCTTAACCTTTTTTCAAGGAAAAACTCTCTGCTATTTCACTTAAGACTTCAGTTTGTAGGATGTGTCTGTGTGTATGTGTGCGTGGCAAGTTACACTATAACATAATGCTTGAGAATGTGAGCTCTGAAAACAGATTGCTTATGATCAACTCCCAAATCTACCTCTTACCAGTAGGTGACCTAAGCAAATACTGTAATTCTGTGCTTCTCAGTTTTAATTATGACAGTAATAACACTTACTTTATAATATGACTGTGAGGATAAAACACTAAAACAGTCATGTGTCCCTTAACCAATGGGAACACATTCCAAGAAATTCACTGTGAGATGATGTTATGTGAACATCGTAGAGTATATTACACAAACATGGATGGGGAAGGCTGCTACTCCACATGGCCTCTTGATGGAATCAGGAGGTGCAGTGACCAGAATATATAAAACTGCAGCCACATTACAATAAACTTTTAAAAAATAGGTAGACATTCTAAAATAATGATAAAAAGTATGGTATAGTATAAGTACATAAAGCTGAAACACCGTCATTTATTATCATTACCAGACATTACATACTGTATATAACAGTATGTACTATACATTTATGCAAAAATTGGCAGCACAGAAGGTTTGTTTATACCAGCATCACCAAAAACATATGTAATACATTGTGCTACAACATTATGACAACTTCTACATCACCAGGTAAGAGGAATTTTTTGGCTCCATTTAAATTTTGTGAGACCACCATTGTATTTGCGGTCCATCACTGATCAAAACATCATTATGTGCCACGTGACTATGCACTAATGTGTAAAATACAGCACTCGTGTTACTAGTGACTATTGGTATGGAGAAGGACAGGGTGGTGATGCTGAAAATCAGTGTCCCCCTCTCTAGCTCCTCACCTTCTCCTGGCAGTTTAGCCAAACTGTAAGGAAAAAAGAGGGCCCTGGGCTGTGTTTATGAATTTAGAACTCATGCTACCTTCATGGTTGTCTTTGGTTCCCTGGTCCAGGCTCTTGCTCTAAACAGCCCTATCTAATTTTCCCTGCTTTACTAGCTGGATCCCAAATTCCAGTAAGACCTATGTCTATTCTTCCCTTTAATCTGTCTCTTGAGTTAATTCCAATGGCCATTTTTTTTTTAAGCTTAGAATTTGTATGTGGTTCTTCACTGTTATTAGTCACTTATATTTATTGTTATATTTACTCAACATTAAATGAGATGATCCTCTGCTCCCTTCCCCAAAAGTCATTTTCTGCTCTTTGGGGTATTTAATATTTACTGCTACATCTTTCAATGACATATTTGTATCATTGCTTTTTGTATGTTTATTGGTTTACTTTGATGTTTGGTATTATGCTGCTTTCTCATTATGGAAAATAAAAGTTAAGCTCTCTCTTGTTCTGTGTTCCACCTGTCACTCATCTTAAATGTACATCATCCTTCCAATAACTCTACCTTAATTTGATTAGCTCATATTCAGTGTTTCAACTGTTGTGATTGTGAAAACAATTTAGATTGCTGGACCATGTGGTATACTAAAAATACTTTTGTTTCCTACAGCAGTTTTTATTTTCCATGGAATCAACAATTTTTTTCAATTGATTCTTTTTCTAAAACTGCATTATTAATCTAATTCTAGCTGTTTGACAGTTTTTTAAACCTCTTTAGTATGTTCGGGCACTTCATGTATTCCATCAATCTTCACCTTCCTAAAGGACTTTCCTGGAACTGTCATTGGTACAAAAAAATCACATATCTTCTCAGGAAGATGCAATGCCACCTTGCTCCCAGAGTAAGAACTGGGTATGTTACTAATGGTCTTAATAAGTCCAGTACTAATATTCTCTGCAACTGTTTTTCAGCCATTTTTATTTCTACTTTAGAAGTGCAATCCATGCCTTTCTGGTCTTTTTTAAAAAATGTGGTTTTTTTTCTTATTAATTCAGAAACGTTTATACACTAGAAATAATAATCCTTTTTATTTATGTTGGTTTCAGATATGTTCTCTGTTTTCCTCTTTCTCTCTCTCTCAGGTTTTTTGTTTTTTTTTGGTACCAGGGATTGAACTTGGGTCCTTGCGCTTGCAAGGCAGGCCACTGAACCGCTGAGCTAAATCCCCGGCCCTGTTTGCCACTCTCTTAATGATATCCTATAATGAAATTTTAAGTTTCATGAGTTCAAATGTATGAATATTCTATGTCATTTAAAACATTTGCAATTTGTGAAAATTTTTCTTGTTCAATGATCATAAAAATAATCCGTATTTTTAATAAAATTGTAAAGTTTTGCCACATTTAACATTTAAATTTTTTATCTACATTAAATCAATTTATAGAATTGATTTTTGTGTATGGTTTGAGGTAGGAGCCCATTTTTCCAGTATGTCATTCCTTTCTTACATTCTTCTAGTAATAACTCTTTTCATTCAGTGAGTTTATTTTTAATCTCTCTTCCATTCCATTGTTAACTCTGTTTATCCTCAAAACATTCTCCTTCCCCCATGTTTTAATTGCTAGAGTTTTACAGTTAGTTCTTGATATCTATAAGGGCAATTCTACTCTCTCCTCCTTCAATACTATCTCTCCTCTTTCTTTGCCATTCCAAATACATTTTTACAAGCAGCTGAGATTCTTTTCTGCAGAATATCCATAAAACAGACTCAATGAGATTTTATAAAACTTCAGATAAACTTAAGACAAACTGACCTCCTTAACTGGGTCTTCTTACCACTGAACATGATTTTATTTTCACCTTGAGATCTTTTAAACCTATCTTTTGATGAACTTATACATGATTATTCTTTAGTAACCACAAGGGATTGGTTCAAAGACCACCCCCCGGCCGCATATCTGTAGATGCTCAAGTTCTTTACATAAAATTGGCATAGTATTTGCATATAATCTATGCACATATGCCCTTCTACTTTAAATCATCTCTAGATTACTTATAATACCTAATACAATGTAAAAGCTATATAAATAATTATTGTATTCTTTCAGGAGAAATGACAAGAAAAATATGTAAATGTTTAATACAGACCCACAACTTAAGGGAGGAGAGGTTTATTTTGGCCCATGTTTCAGTCCAGAGCCATCTGGCTCCAAGACAAGACAGCATGGCAGAGGATCATGGCAGAGGAGAGCTGCTCAGCACATGTCAGGCAGGAAGTAGAGTCAAAAGAGGAGCCAGGAAGGAAGATTCTTCCAGGACTCGCCCACAATGACCCTCCTCTTCCAAACTGATCTCACCTCCTAAAAACAAGTCAGCCATGATGTCCCTGTAATCCAGGCACTCTCCAAAGGTCCCACTTCTCAGAGAATGAGATTTTGGGTGAACCCTAGATCTAAACCATAACAGACCATATTATAGATAATGTGAATAAAGAATACAAAGCATTACATTTATTCACCTCTGACTCTGAATTTTCCCTTTGCATTTACAGCTTGACAATTTCCTTTTCTTGATTCCATGCTTAGTAAAATATATTTTTAACATTTTGGTCATATTTTATCCAGAAGTTCTGAAACATGTGGAATGAGTGAAGGGCTTCTACCTGCATATTTATTGTCTTTAATCAAATCTCCCTACCATTCTATAGAAATACCTACTTTCCTTTTTGATGGGATCAAACATATTCAGTTTTACTCCCTAGTTCACAGTGGTGAAATAGTTCATGGATGAATTTAGGAAAGTTCACTAGCAGAGAAGGGTAAGTAGTGACTATTTCACAGAGACTAGCAGTGAAGTCAAGCAATGTGCCATCTTGAAGGAAGTGGGAAACCAAAAATTAATGCAAAGAATTGGAAGTAGAGGTCAATTTCTTAATGGATCTGAGCTAATTTCTTTTCTGTGGGTTTAGATCTTTATTTGGTATCAGAGACAATGGAACTTTGAGAAAATTCATAACGCTCAAAAATATGCCAAAAGAGGTTCTAAATTCCTGTGATGAGATGAGATGTCCTGGTTAAAAAATAATAATAATAATAATGGAATAGAAAGGTGGACTAATAAGAAAAAAGGCCCATTACAAAGAGATTATTTGAGTTTGGAGCAATGAAGATTGAAAACAGTCTCCACATCATCCTTCCTAAGAAAAGGAAATGGTCCCTGAGTCTGGGAAAATAACAGTGGCTGGGGTTTCAGGGAATTCATGGGTCCTCAAGTAGTAGCACCCCTGCTTCTTTGCAGGTGTTTCAGTCACAGAGAGTAGCTTAGTTATAAACCAAAGGGTTAGGATCAGAACAGGCAATGCTGGGTAGTGGGAACTGGGATTTCTGGCCATTACAAATACTGTGAACCTCAGTGTATTTGGTCAGTGTCTCACTGCCAAGACAAAACACCTGACATCCACAACTTGAATGAGAAGACTTTTAATTTGACTTGCAGATAAGAGGCTTCAGTACATGGTTGGCTAGCTCCAAGGCAGGAACATCATGGTGGGACAAAGCTGTGTGCTTTATGGAAGTCAGGAGCAGAGCACAGGGGGAAAATGCAGCAGGGGATATAACCTCAAAAGGCATGTCCTCCGACTGGGCCCTACCTCCTAGCAGTGCATTCAGCAATGGACATCAGTGGATTAATCCAGTGACAAGTATAGTGCACTCCTTATGATCCAATCACCTCTCCAGGAGTGTGTTGATCCATCAGGCTAATAAATAAGATTAACTGACACACACAGAAAAAATAGAAATAGCAGAGAAGCAATCCCTGGCGTGCTTGGACGCTGAGCACATCAGCAGGTGGCTAGAGTGGGCTGAAGGCCCAGGAAGCCTCCTGTACAGTTTTGCTCTATAAGGGTCCATGAAGCATTCTCATGACCTGTGGAGAATATCCTAACAACATTAATGAATAAAGTATTGAAAGTGGAGGCTCAGGGAAAAAATATTGCTATGCCTGACTGTCCTGATCAAAACTTATGTTGAAATTTAATCCTCATTTATGAGATACTAAGATTTGAGACCTTCAAAAAGTGATTAAATCCTGAGGAACCAGCTCTCATAGATTAACCCATCATAGACTAATGGGTTATCTCAAGAGTTAGTCTGTTATAAAAGCCAGTCTGTCTCTATCTCTTGTATGTGCTGCTCTCACCATGAGATGACCTGTGTCACCCCAGGACTCTGAAGAGAGGCTCCAACAGCAAGACTTTCATCAAATGCAAGCCCTTCACCTTGGACCTTCCAGCTTCCAGAATCATGAACTAAATAAAACAATTCTTTATAAATGGTGCAATATGTGTACTTTTATTTATAAAGTAATTGGACAATTTTTACCCAAGTGTGGTGTTTTTAAACACATAGCTATCACAATAGCCACTTTCCCCCTTTAGCACTTATATATGTTAGGTATAGAGCTAAGAATTTACATGCTTAATTATTACACAACTCTCTGAAGTGTGTGTTACTATTGTTTGGTCAGGGAGCACTATCTCACATCATATGTCCTAGAAGGCAAAAAAGTTTCAAACTATTGGAAACAAGACAGTGTGGATGTTGCTGTGTAAGTAATATAACATAAGTTACATTGCTGTTTGTTCTTTGAGTACATAAAATTGCATGATTTTCACTGATGTAAAATATCAAAATAAAGGAAAAAAAAAAACATACCCTAGTAGGAGAATCAAGAGCAAGAGTCAGCAATATCCTGGGCTTTCAAATGATGGACCAGCTTGAAAGAAGCAAGTGTCCAGAACCATGGACAGAGGTACGACCAAGCAGGACAATCCTCCAAGTACCCCCAAACTAAAAAACTCAGTTACACTACCTCTAGGATTAACCTCATTTTACAGATGAAGGAAGTGAGGTACAGAGAGATTAAGCCACTGCCTAAGGTCACACAGCTGACAATAAAAAGGAATTGAACTCAAATTCATCTCATTCCCAAGCCTATGAAAGAACTATTATTGTGAAAGTCAATTATCCTCTTTCCGCATTTCCCCCAGGGTATTTTGACAGCTTTCCTTAAGATGTGACTGCTTTGTTTAAGATTATTCATTATCTCAGTCACATTCTTGGTCAAGACAGAGAACTGTCTTGACCCCTGCAATGGTTATTTCAGACTGAAAGCAAAAGAAGCAACCACAGGGCTGCACTGATGATAGTGCTGGAGTTCTTTTTCCTTCTTTCTTTGCTGTCCTTTAAGCTTAGAGCTCTGAATGTGTAGTGGTGTTGAAGGCACACCGAACCACAATATCTTCAGCTTACTGCTTCCAAATGCTGCTTCAGAGCCATATTCATCCCCCTCCACTCCCCCTGAACCAGCCAGACATCCTCCCGCCCACCTTCCATGTGCTACCCATGTGCAGCTAAGCTGCCTGTCCCTAGCACCTCTGTGGGGTGGCAACAGTTCCATCCTATCAACAGTAAGCTGCAGGAACCCCACTGCTCATCAGAATCCCTGCTTCTTGAGCTAGAAATAGACCTGGAGCGTCCATGTACCAAGAAGAGAAGAATAAGGGTAGCTGTGGGTAATTAAAAAAAAAAAACCTATTAAATTGTTTTTTCTATTAGGCTGTGCACATGAATTACCTCCAGTATCAGGACAGGCTATTCACAGTCAGGAAAAGGAAGCCTCATGCTGCCATCACAGGACCCAGGCAGGCAGGCTAGCAGCGAATTCATCTGCCTTCTATTTTTCTTCATCCTCAAGGAAACAAGATGGCTCTTTTCCTTTTGCTGGTGGTTTTGGTCTTAGCAGTCGTCTCACAAGTTTCTCCTGCTATTACTAGGAGACAATCCTGGTCACTCTGAGAATTGAGTGAGCTGAAGGAAGCTTTAGGAGAGTATGAGAGTGGAAAGGACGAAATCACTGATTCAGAGGGTAAGGCCATCAAAGTGGACAAAAACAACGTACTCTCTTCTGATTCAGTGCTTGGTGCCACGTCTCTCTCATTACTTTGTCAGTCTTAAGAACCTGAGGACTTCTCACCGGGCCACCTCTGTACCTTAGGGCACCTTTGACATGGCCTTTTGCCAGAGTTCATGGCTTAGAAACAGATCTTGGCTAGTTTCAACCCCTCTCACATCCTTGCTGGGAGTCTTTCTACAGACTATAGCTGGCACAGCTGCGCGTGGAGTCCCTGGCCCCTTCTGCCAGGGGTCATTGTTTTCCATGGTGTCTCATCAAGGACAATGAATCAGCTAAATTCTCCATGGTCTTCACTGAAAAGTTTTAATCTGAAAGGTAGATGGGAAAGGAAAGGTTCTTAGACACTTAGGACCTACAACTCAAATATGGGTCATAAGATTCTGCAGTTTTCCCATATCGTGGATGTAAGTTGGCAGACTGGCAGACATAAGTTACTTATATTTCAAAATGTGTTATTACCCAACTGCCCTATCAAGATCCCCCTTGTTGGAGTAGGATGGTAAGTATAAGAGTAGGATGAATTAAGTAAAAACAGAATATATACAACTATAAGTCTTATATATTCTGAAATCCCTTCATTGTTCATTTTTTCATCAACTATGTATTAAGTGCTAATTGTGTGATAGAAAGCCTTCCAGATGCTAAGATACAGGAGTTATAAAGTTGATGTAGTGGGAGAGAGTAAGAATAAGCAAAGAATCCCACAAATACATATAGTTACAAGTTGTAGACATTCTATGAATGGGAAAGACTAATTGCCCTTTGAGGACAGGTCATGCAACTTATTTGTCTTGCTTACTCTAATTTCTGTTATTTAGTAGATGGCTAAATAAATATTTATAGAATCAATGTGTAGATGGATGACTACATGAAAGAAACTTTGCATAGCATAACAATTCTCAGAAGGCGTATCACTAATAAGTGGTTGTGAATGTTGAAAGCCATTAGTTCTGAGCAGTTTTCCTACCTTGCTCATTAACTTGGTTGGAAGGTCAAGCTATCAGCTCTCTCTGCAGATCAGCTGTAATTAAGAGTGTTTACTGTTCTCTGAAATCCTTGAACAGAAAGTATCTTCCTGGAAAGCAGATAATTTAAATAGCCTATGATAAATAGCAATAAATCCTACTGTGGATATTGTGTGATTCTATGCCAATTAGTCTTCATAGTTTACTTTAGAGCCCATAGCTTTAAAGCATTGTGGTCATCTCTGAAGTTTTGATTTCCTGCTTATCCTGGTTGAGGACTCTTTGATTATAAGATACTGAAATACACCTGAAGGAATTCAGATAAAAATGAGAATTATAAATAAAGAGGGGCTGGGAATTTAGCTCAGTGGCACTGTACCTACCTCACAAGTGCAAGGTCCTGAGTTCACTCCCCAGTATGTAAAAAAAAAAAAAGAAAGAAAGAAAGGGGGCCAGGGATTTAGCTCATTGGTTTCACCGCTTACCCTGCAAGCACAAGGACTGGAGTTTGATCCCCGGTACCAAAAGAAAAGAAAAAAAGTGGGAGTATCTCCTAGAAGCCAGTTTACATTTTGTCTTTTTGTTTGTTTTTTGGTACCGGGGATTGAACTCGGGTCCTTATGCTTGCAAGAAAGGGGGCAGAACCACTGAGCTAAATCCCTGGCCCTCTGAGCCAGTTTACAAAATACAGGTCCTCTCTCTCCTCTCTCCTCTCGCCTCTCTCCTCTCTCCTCTCGCCTCTCTCCTCTCTCCTCTCGCCTCTCTCCTCTCTCCTCTCGCCTCTCTCCTCTCTCCTCTCGCCTCTCTCCTCTCTCCTCTCGCCTCTCTCCTCTCTCCTCTCGCCTCTCTCCTCTCTCCTCTCGCCTCTCTCCTCTCTCCTCTCGCCTCTCTCCTCTCTCCTCTCGCCTCTCTCCTCTCTCCTCTCGCCTCTCTCCTCTCTCCTCTCGCCTCTCTCCTCTCTCCTCTCGCCTCTCTCCTCTCTCCTCTCGCCTCTCTCCTCTCTCCTCTCGCCTCTCTCCTCTCTCCTCTCGCCTCTCTCCTCTCTCCTCTCGCCTCTCTCCTCTCTCCTCTCGCCTCTCTCCTCTCTCCTCTCGCCTCTCTCCTCTCTCCTCTCGCCTCTCTCCTCTCTCCTCTCGCCTCTCTCCTCTCTCCTCTCGCCTCTCTCCTCTCTCCTCTCGCCTCTCTCCTCTCTCCTCTCGCCTCTCTCCTCTCTCCTCTCGCCTCTCTCCTCTCTCCTCTCGCCTCTCTCCTCTCTCCTCTCGCCTCTCTCCTCTCTCCTCTCGCCTCTCTCCTCTCTCCTCTCGCCTCTCTCCTCTCTCCTCTCCCCTCTCTCTCCCCCCCATCCCCCGCCATGACACCGCTGGGCTCTTCTTTGCAGCCTGATTTTTTTCTGCAAGACATTTGTTTTTATACGAACTCTAACTTGCCACAATATCGACTCTGGCTTCAATTCAACATCAATGGACTAGGCAAAACTCTCTGGGATATAATTGATATGTATCTAAACCAAACTAGTACTCACAAAAATAGAATAATTCAATCACAGACTTAAAGTTCTGAAGTTATCTAGCTTAGGATACAAATGAGTATTGTGGTGCTCAAATAATATCATATCTCTCTTTTCATCTTTCTAAGTCTCCATCCCTCTCTATATTGCCTCTGATCTCAGGAAACATGATAATAATATTCCATGAAACCAGAAATTCTAGATTTATTGTTCCTCCGAACAATTTACAATCCCACAAGAAGAAAAAACATTTTCCATTCAGTTCTGGCTAAAATACAGGGCCTTAATTTGGCCTAATTTGGGTCATGAGCTTATAGTTGAACCAATTACCAAGGCAAGGGAAATAAAGTTCATAAACTGACCAGATGGCCACTTCGGAGATTAGGTCATGCTCTGCCTCACTATAAACACATGGCTAGATGTTTCTTAGTTCAAATTCTTGAATGAGTCTAGCCCAGCTGAAGTCAGATGCTCATCCTCAGTCCATCTGTGGACAGAAGACCCTGGTTGCCAGGCATAAATATGGCTGCCTAAATTTATTTCTTCAGGATGGACTGTGAGTGGGTACAGACTCTGAGAGGGTATGGGTGATGACACTCATTCACTAAAAAAGTTAGATGTTTCTTCTCAGGATGATACTTCTATTTGAAAGAGATAAAGTAAAGGTCTTCAGATATGGAAAAAACATTAGGCAGTCCAAATTTTATAGATCTAAGCAATATTTAGAGCAGAAAAAATCTGTAGAGATCATCTCATCACAGCCTTCTCTTTTGACGAACGAGGAAGCTGAGGCTTGGAGTGTTTGAGTGGCTTGCCCAAATTCTATAGCTTTCTTGTTGTACAGCCTGATATAAACCTGAAGTCTGAAATCCCCCGAATTCCAAGATGACTTGTCTGGTACACCCAGAATGCTTAGCCAAAGGCTTTACAGAGCACCTCAGCTTCTTCAGGGCTACTTCTGAGCCATCCAGTTTGACTACTTTGGATCAGTACTCATTCATTGTGCACAGTTACTTGCTAGAGGGAATTCAATTTAATGACAGTATTTATTGGGAATGGATTCTATTCTAGCAGTGGGTTATGTACTACTGGGTACATGTATGATTTGGATGTTGAATGTCCTCCAGTGTCCATGTGTTCAAAGCTTGGTCCCCAGCTGACAGCACTGTTGGGAGGTGATAGAATCTTTAAGCTGTGGAACCTAGTGGAAGGTCACTGGGGCCATGACTTGAAAGGGAATATTGGGACCCTGGCCCCTTCTCTCTCACTTTGATTCCCAGCTACCGTGTTTGCTACATGTTCTCCACCTTGACATTGGGCCTCACAAGAGGCCTGGAAGCAGTGGAATTAGCTGACCATGGACTGAAACTATGAGCCCCAACAGACTTTGTCTCTTACAAACTTTCTCAGGTATTTTGTCACAGTGACAGAAATCTAACATAGTACACAAAAGTAATAAATATGTTCTAGTTGGAGTTTAGCATGGTCCAGTGCCTGCCTTCAAAGAGCTTATAATCAAGCAGGAAGAAAAGACTTTGATATTTGTAATGAATACAAAATATAGAAGATAGCATTTAATTACATTCTAAATGGAAGATTGAACACTTTATAGTTTGTCTTTTGGCCACATCATTTTTCCCCCAACTTTTATTACATTTATTTCTGTTAGAATCTTTCTTCCCTTGGGTTAGTCTGTTTTCACCAGCTTGAGTGTAGAGGCTGATTCCCATCCACTCTTAGCACTTGAGAACCCACACACATCCTTTGGGAGCACACTCCATGGGTCAGAAGCTATGGAATTCCCTCCTGAGCCATACAGTCCTTTGGAATCATCCTCTGTCCTACACACTGGCCAGGTTGAAAGCCACCTCCTCCCAGAACACTTCACTGTAAATGAGGGCCTAAGGGGAGATTCTGCAGGCATTGTTGTTATTGCTATTGTTGTTGTTGTTGTCATTGTTCTCTAATGGCTGGACAGGTAGGGGCTGGCCTCTGAGAGCTAAGACTGAAGGAAGTACTCCTACTGCTGAGGATGTGAGGGACAATTAAATGAGGCAGAGGAGTCCCTCTCATCCTCTTACCCACATAGATACGTATGAATTAGAAGATGCATAACTTGAATCTAAAATAAAGAATTGCTTTGAATACTTCCTCTGGAAGCCAAGAGATTTTTCTGGCCCACTAAAATAAAGTGTGGTACCCGTCTCTTTCTCTCATAATCAGTAAATTTGTTCCATTCTCTAGGCAAGGAGGAAGAAGACCCAGGAACATTGGTAGAAAAGAGAAAGATTGTATTTTGCTGCACATAACCAGGGCATATAGCCTGATCAGATGTGCAAAGTTTGGCCCACCAGAGCTGGTTACCAAATGACTGCCATGCTAGGGTAATGCCTGCAGCCTGTCAAATCTTGGCTAAGGAATGGCAGTAGGTGGAGGGGTCACAAAAGTTCAGAAGGTCTAACAACCGTCTCTCACACACTCTCCCCTGTGACGGCCACTCAGCCACTTGTTAATACCCTACTGTGCCTGGTTCCCTTCCACAGACCAGCCCCTGCACATGACATTCTTCCTTCTCTTTTCCTCTCCTCTTCACCTAGGTAACTCCTACCACCCATTTAATCTAAGTATAATAACCCTCTTTAGGAAAAGGTTCTGCCTGATTGACACTATAGCTCTGTTCCCCTCTCTTCCCAGTACTTCACGCTGTAGTAGTTTCGTATTTGTTTGACCAGAATATAAAGTACCACAAGATCAGTGACTATGGATCCCATGGCATCCCATGTCCAGGGCCTTGGATCCCACAGTAAATACTTGCAGAACATGTGTGACCCAGAGCATGGGATTCTAAGCAAGTAACTAGTATTTGAGGTGGGGAGGGGCTGAAGCTGAGAGAGCGAGTCTGCAGAGCCAAAAGTTGTCTGGGTTTGGGAGGATGTGGGGCAGTAAGAACTGAGAGAGGTAGGCTCATGGTCCAAAGGAGACAACAGAGGTCTGAGGAGCTACAAAACAAATGCCATGGATCGCAGTCACACAATGACCAAAAAAGTGGGGAATGGCAGGCTGGGAAGGGAGGTGGGAGAGACTAGTGCCAAAGAATACCTAGAGGCTGTTACCTAAAGCAGGTTTCTACATGCCTGAGTAGACAGACGTTTAATGGACAAGATTAAAGAGAAGGTAGATGGTGACTGGAAGCCTGCTAGAGCTGTGGTTCTCAAACCTGGCTGAGAATGAATGGAAGTATTTTTTTTTAATGCAAAGGTTCCGCATATCAGAAATCCTGGCCTTTATTTTTATTCTAACTGCAAGGAAAAGCTATAGAAAGTTTAAAGATGTGAGTGTGTGTGTGTGTGTGTGTGTGTGTGTGTGTGTACTGATGATGTTTGTGTGGATAAGAAATTGGAGAGACAAGTTAGGAAGGGCTTAGGCATGTGACTCAAGAATAGATATTTTGCAAAAGCATCTCATGCATTTAAAATATGCAGTACGCCTGGGAACCACTTCTAAAACAATAGTCTTTAATTTTGACTGCAACTGCAGTCACCTGTGGAGCTTTTAACAACTATAATGACTGGATTTCCCTCCCAGAAATTCTGAC